AAATCGAGGGTCACTTACGTTGAACAAGTGCTGGGTATTACAAACGAGGGGGTTCGAACAGCGATCGGTGTAAATCCACCCTTAGTCGACTTTCACTTTCAAACGATTTACCTTCTATATGCTCGTTGACCTGTTTTAAATGGGTTTTACTGCTCGGATCGCGTTCGCACCCTGTTAGATATTTTGTTAAATTAAATTACCATTCCTTTTTTATCGATTTCAAATTGAATTCTACAAGATTTAAAAAAATGATTATTCATTTTCTCGCGAAGCAAAATCTCTATTTGCGAACGTCTAAGGCTTAAAGGGTATTAAGGAGGCATTAAAGGAATTTGAAGAATTCCAATATCTAATTTTTCTAAATTATTTTTTTTGGGAAAACGCGCGAAGAAACGTGAAAGTTGACACGAATCGCGACACTACGCTCGATCACCGTCGTATTTCAGCAAACGCACGCTCGTCGGACAACTAGTATGCAAAACGCGTGCATGTTCGTAAGCGTGAAATTACATAGTGTTCGACTAACGCTTGCGTTTCGACGGAGCCTGCATGACGGTTTGGACATAGGGGTTGGCTCAGTTCAGGACCAACCGAGCTGGCCACCAGCTGACAGCCCTTACTTTGGAATCTCGTAAATGATAGCACTGCTGCAATTAGCGTAATAAAGTAGCGAGCCCGAAATCGCGTATTCACACGTGCCAAACTTGTCACGAAGGGTGCCCGCATTCTTTTAATTGATCTTCTTTCATTGTTCTGGTAACCGAGCTTCGAAAATCCATCTCTTTTTTCATATTTTTCTTTTATTATTGCATAGTTTATTTGATACATGTAAGGTACAGTGTACACTGTAAAAAGGTGAGAAAGTTTCGAATTTACGACGGAAGTTTAATATGTTTCCTCAAAGTTACACGGCTGTACGGCGTGTTAACCACGTTTTCGTTAATTAGATTTCGGCGTCTGAAGAAAATGAAATATAGGGCTGGTCCGTGAAACATTCTACAAATTATAAAAATTCTTGGATTCTAAGATTCTTATTTATTCAAATAGAATTATCATTGCTCAGCATCGAATGAGAATTTTAATTGTACAGATTATGTACAGATATCTACCGATAATTCCCCAATTTATACGTTATCTCGAGAAAATAATTCTTGGCTGTCGCGAAGCTTGTCACCGAGTTGATTCACGAAGCAGCAAGGACCAGGGCGCGTTCAGTTCGCCTAACCCATTCACCTAAGGTCTCTTCCGCTGTTCCAGGTGACTCTGATACGACGATACGGGGAGACTTTGAATGATAAATGGCGCGCAAGCCGTCTACGGATGCTGGCGCGCCTGTACATTTATTAGATGAGATTTATGCCGTTAAAGGACGGAATCGGTAAACGGATCGCGAATACCATTCCCGCGAAGCCGTGGAAAAGCAGTTTGAATGGGAGCTTCCCCGAAGGAAAATCCCGGCTCGATCGTGCTGCTCTCTTCTTATTCCCGCGCGTTCTTAATACTTTATGGGGCCGCGTTGTCGCGCGAACATTTACATCGAATACCTTGCTATTGCCAGGAAAAACTTGAACGCGTACATTTTTACCTCTTCAACCACGATGCCCGTACATAGCGGCAACGACGTGTTTGTATCTTTGTTGGTCGCGTTATACCTTCGCTTATTTGTACTTTAAAGTCTTTCGCTTACATGGAACGTTACGGAAGCGATGCACCCTGATTTTTATTCCCTTTTAGTACAACGTGGTACTTGAAAAATATTTCATACGTGTTATATATTTTATATATTAGAATACAGCCTTTGAAGCTGCAGTCGCGAACCATATTTTATCAATATCGTTGAAAATTGTTTATTAAACAGAAATGGTATGAAAGGAATATTTCTATTGTCCCTGTGTCGTTTAATTAAATAATACCTCCGAAAATTCATCTCGATTATCAGGAAATTAAAATAAACATTTTCACTCATTGTCTCTCATCCTGAAAATTAATTTCGAAACGATAACGAGCAAGTAAATTTAAAAAAAAGAAAAGAACCACCCGCACATATAAAAAGGTGAAACGAGAACCGAATATTCCTGGTTTCAAGCTTCCGTGTCGCTCGGTGAATTACAAGACGAACGCGCGATCAGATACGCGCGGAAACTTCCGTTCTACAGAAAAATTACAAGCCACCGGGCTGAGCGTGAAAAAGATGAATCGAGCGGGTACTGTTTTACATGCGACGAGGTGAATACGCTTCATCCACCGAAGGAAATAACCGAGGCTATATGCGCATCGATGAAAGTTCCGTGGCGGGCATGTTAATGCGTTACAGATACGCCCCGCGAGCTGCTTCGAGCGTTTCTTGCAGCGGCCACAGCCTGGATCGATGGTGAACCGAAAGAAATGCAACAGATGCGAAGAAATTCCGATTCTCCTTGCCGATATCGTATGAAATTGATGCATTTTTTCACAGACAAAGGTAAATAATTGTAATTAATAATCGTGATTTAAAATCTACTCGAGATATCGGTAAGTTTCCACTAAAAATAACAAAATAAACTGAAGTGTGTACCGGACGGTTTATAGTTGTACTCTGCTCTCAGGTATGATTTTATCATTTTTTCTAACGATACGTTAGATTTTGCTATTTTGTAGTCGAAGTAGTGTCTATAATAAGAGTTCGGTGAAATTTTCATTGATAACCAAACACGTGTCGATAAAATTTTGATTTTAATGATAACAGTTTAGATAAAGTTGTCAACACAATTTTTTTAGACTTCTCTTTCATTCAGTTTCCTTTGTCAATTTGAAAAGCCAGCGATGAATTATTCAAGAACTCAGCAAGATAGATGTACCTTAAAAACATGCCACTTCTTTTCTATTCCAAAGATACACGTGTAAATTAAACGATACACGTACTTGAACAGGAATACATTTTAGTTTCACTATCCTTACGTGTTTTACATTTTTAAATATAGTTACCTCGAATACCTTTTATGAAAAAGGATCAATGAGTACTATTTTTAATTCTCCATATTTATTTCTGATATTAATTTGAATAACAATATCATCTGAAATATATTCGGCGAGTAAACCAGGTGTTTGATTGAATGTAAATATTTGATCGACAATCGGCATAATTATCTTTGTAATAACTGGCCATTCTTGTACCAGTTTCCAATAATCAATAGTCTCGATCGAAATTCCTCGTAAAGAAATCAATGAAAGATATCTCCTTGATTGATTAATCGCTTTCAATGAGTTGTTATAACAAAAGAGAATCAATCTTCGTATCAATCTACGATCGGTATATTTAGCATTCTCAATTATCACATTGAATGACGTGATGACCACTCGGTGCCCAAAAAGAAGAATTCCAACTATTCCAGCATTATTTTATTAAACGTCAATCACCGTTCCACAAATTTCCCTCAGACATCGTTAAAAAGAAGAAGAGAAAATATTCGCGAAAAGGAAGAAAGTAAAACGGCAACGCATTGTTGTAATACCGAAAAGACACACAATGCAGTGATTTTCCGATCGACCATTTCTTCCATTTTATTGACTTTCTCTCATCGAAATGCGGCGGAATAAAAGTGAAGAGGAACGTTCGATTCCGCTCGACTCGCTTCTCTCGGCCCGGCCATTATTGCATGCTTTTTGGGTCCAAACAGCTCTTCGGCTCTCACTTGTTGCTGTAGAGGATTTTTCTAGCAACCGGTCGAGGAATCAACGATTTTATTATTTTATAGACGAAGATCCAACGGGACGTACGAATCGTGGCAGGAGGATATGATTTATGCAAGGATTAATGTGTCGGTTAGGAAAGATTGAAAAGGGGTGGATCGTGAAAAGGGTTTTCCCTGATACGACGCGATGGATGATTTTGAAAGATGAGATGAATCGTAGATTCTTTGCGACTCGGCACAGTATAATTTTGCCCAGAAAACGACATAATTTCTCTCTTCATCGCAAGGTTCAAATTAATATTAATAAATGTACACGTTGAGATGAATCCCTTGACGTTCAATTTAACTAAAAGTAATTTTCGGTACGAATGATGTTTAATTTTGTTTCCTATATCCGTGTTACATCAAGGAAACGAAAAAGATGATAAAGCACGGGGTTAATTTAAAACGAGAATTTTAATTGAACGAGAGAAGAAGCAATAGATAACAGTGGGGTGAGCTGCGGAAGCATAAGCCGTACAGGAATATTTAACGAAGGGTGTTGATCTTCAACGGGAGGAAGAATTAATTTTTCAAACGGTTGGTTACTTAGCCGCTTCATCCCGATGAATGCCATCAAAATTCCACTGGAGCTTTGGCTCGATATCCAGAGCCACGATATCGCGATTCCGACCATCCATACAAATTGGATTTTACCAAATTGGAGTACGATTTTCACGAGGATCGGTTCCAAGGCACGCGTGCGCGCAATGGGCGGGAAAAAAACAGAAGAGAGAAAGAGATAAGAAGAACGTAGGGTCAGAAAGACGCTAGAAAGCAAGCCGCGTGGATGATGAAGCGAATCAAGCAACGACGACGGTTTACGTGCGATGCAGCCCTAAAACATCGCCAACGATCGGTGGAGCAAGTTTCCTGGAAACGCGTTAGCAACGAAACGTTTGTGCTTAGAATTTTCAAGCGTACCGAATTACATCCCCGTCACGGAGAATCAATGGTAACTGAAATACGTAAGCGACAACGGATACGACGACATTGTTCCTGCTCGTGAGAATTTTAATTTATTCCCCTGAGGGGTTAGCTGCAAGGATAACTAACAGGTCGTTAGTCACGAAATTCGTAAAACGGAAGTTTCTGTATTTAGATTACGTGGTTCGTCGACGGAGGTTCCCGCGTGAGAAACGCGTGGAAGTTGTGGTGGTATTCTACGCATTCGCTACCAAAGGGATGCTGGTATCACCTTTCTCACTAGTTTCTCACTCGATTAAATATTTTCATGTACATAGAACTATGCAGAGATGACAAGAGGAAAAATAAAAGATAATCAGAAAATAGGATTTTTGTAGAATAACATAGAATTTATTTTAAAAGAATATTCTACAGAAAATATTTCATACATTGAGCTTTCCCTGTGCATTCTCAGGCCAGTGATGTATGACAAGTTAATTAGGATCCCGGTCACTGGGATGCATCTTACGACTGTAGGTTCCAGTGGTCGTATCAATAGGAAGGGTTGAATCTTCTAATGGGTACCCCGTTATTAGTTTTTGGGCACCTCTTATAGCATTGGAATTAATTTACAACCAAGTCCACCAACGTGCAGGCGGTGGAGACGCTGTAGAGGATGGTTCTGAGCTTGAAGGAGAAGATGGTTGTTCAGAGCTGCTTGGTGGTTCAGCTGAACTCGAAGGAGAAGATGGTTGTTCAGAGCTGCTTGGTGGTTCAGCTGAGCTCGAAGGAGAAGATGGTTGTTCAGAGCTGCTTGGTGGTTCAGCAGAGCTGCTTGGTGGTTCAGCAGAGCTGCTTGGTGGTTCAGCAGAGCTGGATGGGGAAGATGGTTGTTCGGAACTACTTGATGGTGGCGCTGGGCTGCTGGATGGGGAAGATGGTGGTTCGGAACTGCTTGGTGGTGCAGTGCTACTGGATGATGGGGCAGAGCTGCTAGACGGTGGTGCTGGGCTGCTTGAAGGAGAACTTGGTTCTGCGGAACTACTGGAAGGGGAAGATGGTGGTACAGAGCTACCTGCAGGAGATGGTTCTGCAGAGTTGCTTGAAAGAGAATATTGCTCTGCTGTGCTACTTGCAGGCAAGGATGGTTGTTCAGAGCTGCCTACTGGTGGTTCAGGGCTGCTCGGTGGGGATGATGGTTGTGCAGAACTGCTTGCTGGTGGAGCAGGGCTGCTGCTCGGTGGGGAGGATGGTTGTTCAGAACTGCTTACAGGTGGAACAGGACTGCTGCTCGATGGGGAAGATGGTAGTTCAGAGCTGGTTACTGGTGGTTCAGGAGTGCTTGGTGGGGAGGGTGGTTGTTCAGAGCTGCTTTCTGGTGGTACGGAGCTACTGGAGGGGGGTGCTGGACTGCTTGAAGGAGCAGTTGGTTGCGCGGAGGTGCTGGAAGGTAAAGATGGTGGTGCAGTGCTAACTGCAGGGGATGGTTCTGCAGAGTTGCTTGAATGAGAATATTGCTCTACTGTGCTACTTGCAGGCAAGGATGGATGTTCAGAGCTGCCTACTGGTGGTTCAGGGCTGCTCGGTGGGGATGATGGTTGTTCAGAACTGCTTACAGGTGGAGCAGGGCTGCTGCTCGGTGGGGGGGATGGCTGTTCAGAACTGCTTGCTGGTGGAGCAGGGCTGCTGCTCGGTGTGGGGGATGGTTGTTCAGAACTGCTTGCTGGTGGAGCAGGGCTGCTGCTCGGTGGGGGGGATGGCTGTTCAGAACTGCTTGCTGGTGGAGCAGGGCTGCTGCTCGGTGGAGAGGATGGTTGTTCAGAACTGCTTGCTGGCGGAGCAGGGCTGCTGCTCGATGGGGATGATGGTTGTTCAGAGCTGCTTACTGGTGGTACGGAGCTACTGGAGGGGGGTACTGGACTGCTTGTAGGAGCAGTTGGTTGCGCGGAACTGCTGGAAGGTGAAGATGGTGGTGCAGAGCTACCTGCAGGGGATGGTTCTGCAGAGTTGCTTGAATGAGAATATTGCTCTGCATTGGTACTTTCAGAGGAGGATGGTTTCTCAGTGCTGTTTACTGATGGTGGAGGGGTGGTTGGTGGAAAGGATGGTTCGTCGCTTGGTACCGTTGATTCAGGGGTGGTCGGTGGGGAGGATGGTTCGTCGCTTGGTACCGTTGATTCAGGGGTGGTCGGTGGGGAGGATGGTTCGTCGCTTGGTACCGTTGATTCAGGGGTGGTCGGTGGGGAGGATGGTTCGTCGCTTGGTACTGTTGATTCTGTGGTAGTCACCGTTGTAGGTTCTTCAGTGGTGCCTGCACCGTTTACGGGAGCAGAGAACACAACAAATTTCATCTTAAGTCCAGTGCCTATTTTTCCAATCACTGACACGACTATAAATGGTGTGCCAATACCCCCTTTGACTGGTTTGATCAATACATTGGTAGGGTTGATGTTTCCGACCCCGACAAACGAAATCACTTCTCCAGGGGGAGCATTTGCCCCAAGTGTCACCCTTGGTATAACGAAAGGTATCGGTGGCTGAAATGAATTCAAATTTTGCATTTTTTAATCTCTACAATCTCTACGATTCAATGTTCTCTTAAATAAGCTACACCCTACAGTGGCGTTAAATTAATCTAGGGGTGTGTTGAACTATTTATGTTCTTAATCATGCTAGATGAGCGATAAATTAATGAAATCAAGGAAGCCGTAGAAGTTCAAGAATGTTACTGTTATTCCTTAACTCGAAGTTAAATTGTATAACGTCTCTGGCCAATTTATTCTATTGTTCTATATTATTTAATTTTGTCTAATTAATTTCTTGGTTTATAAAAGCAACAGGTTTCTTACCTTGATAATGACACGACGTTGAATTAGAGTGTCGTTCGGTGAACGATGTCCCAAAATTAAATGGTTAGCCTGCGTACAGGCTAACAGAGATATGCACACAAACAAAAGAACGAGCTTACGCATCTTGGCTGGTAGTTGTTACTGGTCAAATTGTTCTTTTAATTCTGCTATAGAATCGAGCATGATACCATTTATAGTTACTCCTTATCAACGATCCACACGATTCTCCGAACAATGAGTGATCAGTCAATCACGTAACTAAAAGATCTTTATCATCGCGTACGGTGGCAACAACTTACATAACGATGTTTACCTTATGTTCTTCGTCATGTAAAGATAACTGATACTTTCAATAGCCCGTTCATCGTTACTTTTATTTCAGGGCTCGAAATAAAAATGAAAACACGAAGCGAAAAATGTCCGAACGACGTTTAGAAACGCACAGATTTAATCTGTAGGGAAAGAGAAAGATTTCCCTTAATCATCGAAACGTGGCGAAATGCTTCAGATTTCAGCAATTATAATACCATGGAAATCATTGGTAGCTGATGGCATTGATGCCTTATCTTCTCGGTAGCGTATACCGCAAACTCATTGGGGGGTCTGATAAAGCTAGACGCGAGGTAATAAACGATAATGCATCATCTCTTCTTATCGTTGTTATCATCTTATCAATTGTACTAGAAAAAAAACCCTTTGACATCAGGTAGTACAATCGATACGAGAAAATATCCTGAGGTCTTCTTCGAATCATGGAACGTTTTCGGAACGTACAACAATAAACACGGTAGATAAGTAGATAAGCGTCAGACGCAGATTAATTAACAATTTTTCGCGATAGTCCTCCAGACACTTTAGATCAAGAGATCTATGATTTGACGAGGTTCATTAACGATTATCGAGAAATTCCTAAACGAAGGAAACAAAGCTGAAAGAGGGGTAAACATTTGATGGGTGAAAATTCCGTTTACCAAACGCTTCGTTAGAGCGTGGAACAAATGAATTTGTTCGCTTTGTTGATCGCTAACGAACAGGTTAATTCCTGATCGATCATTCCGAGCTGATCTGTGGCCGATGAGGGTTGCCGGTGGACGAAAATCGAAGGGAAATTGAAAATTCTTTCATTCCTATTCTTTTATTAATCTGTTAACTCTTCAAATATTATTTCCTGCGTCACGATCGACCACCCTTCGTTTCGAAGCTTCAAATTCGCCCCTAATACACTTAGGTTGGAATTTACATTCACCGTGTTGTCTTGCGAAACAGCAATTGATCTCTTCAGCGGTTACTCAATTTAGCGGTTGCTCTTCTTCGATGCTGATCAAGTTTAACTAACGGTTAATTTATGCGAGAACGTGTTGTGGAAATTGTGTCGTGGCAAGAACTTTGTTGAATTTTAATGCTTCCTGACAGAGGGTTCGCGTAATCGTTAATTTGATCAATAAAAGGTGAAGAAATGCTTTTTCTAGCATCGAAGCTGAAAAGATTAGCTAATTATTTATCACAATGTTTCGTGGCCAATATATTTTCAAGTACCTCATTCGATGGTAGATTACTTTGTTGTTATTACAACATCACAAAAGACTCTGTATCTATCACGTGAATTCGGAGAAAATTCTGTTTATATTATTTTCTCACGAATTTTGAGCGTTAATTATAGACTTGATTAAAAATATTCCCTGGTTTTCGATTCATCAACCGTTGTTACGGTGAAAGGTATCTAGATTGGATATGGAAGTGCGATTTCCGTTCTACACAAATTATTTTTCTTTCATACGACTGCGAGAGTTCTGGTTTACAGCCATAGCAGTGTGCACTTTAATTTCACCGGAGATTTATGCAAGCGGCTGCTTTGAACGTGTGCAACACGTAATAACCAGAATGCAACATCGGTTTCGCGTTTTCTGTCCTTTGAAACGGGCCGAAACGACACCGATCTTAATATCCTCGCGAAAAGGATTTACGCGGTCAAGACTCGTATTTTCGTCCAATGAATGTTTCCACCTTTTTTCTAATTTCGCTGGACAATGGGATGTTCACGCTGTGCGCCATTCAGTTTCGCGTTAGGGTAGGATAACTTTTTCCTTTCAGGTTTTCTGTTCCGATTAAAACAGATTATTATCAAAGGAAACGTGACACGTTAAATTCGGTCTAACTTAATATTCTAGCTTCAAATATTTCGGACAAGTTAAAATCTGAGTAGAAAAATCTCATCTGGATGTAAAACGCCTGACCTGGCTTCGGATACCGAGAAAGATTTTTAATAAGGGATGGGACTTCGAATAACCGTGGCAGACGGTTGATGGGTAGCGCGCATTTGCATAAAAGCCCCCGTCAACTTCGTCAACCCCCGTCAAGATCTTCGAACGCGTTTTCGTTAGGGTGACGCGACAAACTTCCAACTTTTTCCCCCCGCAAATCGGGGATCGAGAATCGTCAAACGAATCTGAAGTAAAATATTTTCCTATTCTAATCATTAGTTACCATTAACTGACTTTTATCCATCAGATCGTATCTGACAATCGCGAATATAGATAAAAATAAATAGCCAGTCAATGGTCGAATGAAATACGCAGTTCTAAAACCGATCGATTCGGTAATCGTGTTAATTAATCTAATTAAACCGCGCCTGTTCAGGAGATCCATCGCGCGATAAAGATTACACGTTTGACTTTTCTCAGCGAGTCGAAACGATCGGACAAACGGTGAAAAGGGCCTAGTTTTCCCGGCTACTTTTCCGCCGGCTTCTCATCACGACCGGACGCATTAATCCGTCGCGTTTCCGGCACGGCTATGAAAAATCTTGCTCGTGAAGCTCGATGCACGGAACCTGGCTGACCATTCGTGCATATGCGTGCGTCTGTGTGCATGTGCGGCTCGTACCGGTAATTACTCACGTCACGTGGCGACGTTGCGCCAACTAGCCGGCAAGCTATTTTTTTTCTTCCCCCTTTTATTCCCACCACCCTGGCGTTATCGTCGAGAGCTGACAGAACACGTAGGTACATGGTAAACCAGCTTAGAGTGGATAATATCGGTCAGCGGTTTTTTATGCCCAGCAGACCGGAGGAAAGTGAAAAACGCGGGAGACAGAGAGGAAGAAAGAGAGACTGAATCACGTGTATGATTTTTCCAATACTACCTTCCCGAAAAATAACGAAAAATAATTAAGGATACGATTTTCAGTTGAAACGCTTCGTAGAAAGAGGAGGAAGGGATTAAGGAAGTCTTCTGCCTCGTGAACAACGATCAAGGCGTTTCACGTCGTGCGATTATCCCTCGATTTTCCGGCTATCCTGGGAAAACGTTTCACTGTTAAGCCAACAATCCGTCCAACGACACCCTCGGACCTTTGCGCCGAACCGTGGATAGTAATTAGAGGACAGTGTGCGAAACGAGCGTGTTTAATGAAAGAAAATATCGTCGATTGATGTCTCGTATAGATTGTTGAATATCGTTGTGTCTAGTCAAACATTTGAATTTCTATTTAATTTCGAAATTGTCAATTTTAAAATTAAACGACATTTAGATAATGATATTTATCGATCATGATGATTAAATCATAGTCACCATAGTTTAACTTAAGGAGCCGGTTTACTGAAACAAACATAGATTTATTAATTCGTCGACAAACAAAAGGCTAAATGTAGAAACGTTTCTTTCTAAAAATAAGAAATCGCCAAATACTTTATTATAACCTTCTGATAATACGCTAAATTAACGCTATCTGTTTTCTTCGCCACTCACAGAAACAAGACGCACTTGAGAATCTAAAGTATTTATCGGGCAGATATTAACTACCATATCATATGATCGCGGCGTTTCAAACTATCAGAAATTTTTCAAATTTAATTTACTATTTTTAGAACCAGGAATACATAGATGTAAAGATAAATAGGATTTGAATGAAGAAAAACAGTATAGATCTGAATAAGAGCGAAAGGGTTAATATTCCTAATTACTTTCTATGAATCGAAGAAGTTTCGATCCTTCATTCTTATCGGCCCTCGGAACCTTAAAGACCGAGCTTCGATTGTCGCTCTGTACTGATATCATCGTCTTTGATCCGACACGCGAACATCGAAGTGTCCTTTCGATTCGATATATCGATGCGGTACGATACGCAACCGGGCTCGAATCGTTCGTCATCGTTACTCGAGGCTTGGTAATTAAAAGCCGGCCGCTCGATGATGAACGAGCACGCGAGCCGAGCTGATTTTTCTCACGAGCTGGAAGATGGATCGTGGCTCGAACTCGCAACGGAGAATTATAGCCGATACATTTTTTCCTTGGCCCGCTCGAACGTTGGCCGCATTTGTCAGAATAATCCGTAATTCTGCCCGATGTAGGTCGGTCAATTGGGAAATATTGTAACTCCCTGTATGACGTCGATCGTCGGATCGGTCGGAAAAAAAAATTCGGAACACGTTCGTTCGCTGGATTAGATTGTCGGATAAAAAAATTTTTTCTCTCCACCACCCGCTTTTCTCGTGTTTTTCCTTTGGCCCGTTCAACGAGACAGAACCTAATAACGGTTGGCGAGTCGTGCGAAGGTCGATATGTGCTTTTGTTTATTGGTTTTATCCGAGATGTTAGCGAACGTCGATCCGGATCTAAAAAAAAGTTCCTGTCGATGCTCCGTTGCAAATTTGATAAAGCCAGGTACACGTTGAGAATAAATTATGCATAGATAGAGAGGCATGGTGGTTTATCCTGGTGACAGGCATGTTCGCTGACAGTTTTATTTAATTTTGCATTTCAAAGAGACAAAAATACAATTTTTACAAAATACAGGCTCGCCAAGAGAATAAATTGAAATTTAGAAAATGAGAATAAAGCTCTGTAGGTATAATGTATCAAAGTTTCCTAATTAATATTGAAATTTTTAGCTGCTCGATCGATCGACGACTTTTATTAAACCTGTGGAACATGGATCGATTCAGCTTTATTTTGAGCTTTCGTTGATTAATTTTGAACCGGTGGCTAGATTCCGATCGAATAGTGGACCACGCGGCGTAACTACACGTGTGTCTCGAATATTTCCATAAACATGTCACCATCGTGGCAAATTAGAATATCGAATATCGATCAGCGAACATTGGTCGGTCGGTTCTGGGTCGAGTCGGAGTCGGATAATTAATTCGGTGCCGGATGAAATTTACATCGCGTTCGACGATAAAACACAACGTGCATTAAAAGTTTTCACAATACCGAGTGCACGT